CTTAATTAGATCATGTTATTTTCATTTTCAATTTTTAAAATCCACTTAAAGAAGGTAAATATACTCCATTGAAACTCCATCGATGCAAAGACAGATCTACAGACATGTCTTAGACACTAGTGTTGTCAAAGTATGTCCCAAGTAAAAGGTAAATGGCTCAATACAATTAATAACATAGGGGACAGGTTATGCTTGTTTTTCAACAGAGATAAAATTTTTATTTGACTTTCTTTGAAATATTTGAATATTTCTTTCCACAGTACAAAGTTATCGTGATAGCTGATCACAGGCCTCTTTTGGGAGATAATTTAATATCCACATCCACAAATTCATGTGTTTGTGTGTGTGTGTGTGTGTGTGTGTGAGAGAGAGAGAGAGAGAGAGAGAGAGAGAGAGAGAGAGAGAGAGAGAGATGCTAGCATCCCTTGAAGAACCCCCCTTTCCTATTCTCTCCTGGAAATACATGATCTATGCACTGTACAGATCATGGCCATGTGGTAGCCACTCCAGCCTTTCAATCATTAAAAACTTTTAGAATTTTTATGTTTTTGAAACTGATTTAGCAGAGAGCTAAGTGAAAATTTTAGAGTCAATTTCATTCACCATAGCTCTGACAGTTAAGTGTGGCCACCTACCCTTCACCATTTAGAAATCTCACCATTCTTAATGATATTCAAGAGCACAAATCCACAGCAACACAGGGTACTCTCAGTCTTAGCCCACAGAGAATGACCACCAAGTGTTTCTGAAATACAAGTGTGCCCCACCTCTAGAACGTTACTTAAAACCTCAGTGAAAGGAGTGCCCTCTGACTCTCCCACAGAATGGGATTCAGAGATGCGTGCTTCAGTCTTTTATAATAAATCCATTCTGAGACCCCCATTTCACTGTACTTTTTGACTCCCTCAGTACCATACAACAGAAGTTTAGGTATCTCTATGTCATATATTATAGAACATCATTTGCCCATAATTTGAGAATTGATCCATGTCAGCAGAATACTAAACAAGCTCCTGGTTTTCTTTCCAAAATATTGAGTGCAAATACAAGTGAATGTACTCATGTTAATAGATTCTGTCTGGACCTATAGTCCCCCTTCATACCTCACTCTGGTGCCTTTAAGATTGACCCTCATGTACATTTCCTTGGTTCCTGATGGCATTTAGCAATGTCCAGGTCATATATTTCTTTAATTTGTAAGCTGTTTTCTGATTTAGCTAGGATTTGAACAATTCTGAGGTCTGAGCTTAGTTATTTTTCTCAAATCAGTAAAGGCAGGGAAGGCAATTTAGGAGGAGGACAAACATCATCCTGTGATATATTTTCCCATATAGACTTTGTCAATTCTCTATTCAAGATTAGGCTGCTCTCTTCTGGAAGAATGGAGTATTTATTCTGTCCATGTGGAATTTTCTGGGGATTTAAGGTTTTCTGGGTTTTTCTACTCACTACCCTAGCTGGGAAGTACCCAGCTTTACAATTAGATCTATAACTGATCTGTAGCAATAAGTGAGAATTTCCTTAAATATTGCCAGTAATGTCTATTTGCTTTTGCCATATGTCTTGATTGGATGTTTGGCTTCTCTGAGCATATTATTTTCTGTTGTCAAATAACCTGCTCATCCTTACTTAAATAACTATCATTCCTCTTATATGATTAAAAGATCGCAGCCACTAGATAATCCACCATTCATCTTTGACTCTTCAAACTTGACCAGAGATATGAAGCTCACTATGTGTGGGGCCAAAACACACTGAGGGATCACTATCCCAGTTCCATTGCAAATTATCTTAATCTGGAATGGCTAGAAAACAGAATCTGAGACAAAAGGGTAAGTATGTATTAGCACCTGTGATCCAGAAGGCTGGATTGAAGGATAGGAAGAGCAAGCAGGGAAAGTGAGAGAGTAAATAAAAAGATGAACTGTTAACCGGTCAGAGATGTGAGATATATGTCAGTCAAGACAGGACTTCCTACGGATCCTCTTTAATATATCTGAAGAACACACTTCTACAGAAAGAAAGGAAGATGCATTTACTCATCTGTTTTTCTCACATTGATAAAGTATCTGCTCCACCAGTGATTATTCTTCTCACTTTTAGGTTTTGTGTACATGAGTTGTAAGTGTATTCCACTGAAGACTCTGGTGTAATAGCAACAGAAAACCAGAAAAGCCTTTGAGCAGTGCTGGCACATTCCTGTTATCCCAACACCCTGGGTGGTTCAGGCAGGGGGATCACAGATTTGAACCCAGCCTGAGCAACTTAGTGACTTAGCAAGATGCTTCAGAAAGTAAAAAATAAAAAGGGGCTGGGTATGTAGCTTAGTGCAAGGGCCCTGGGCTCAATCTCTAGTTTAAAAAGTGCAGCGGGGAGCAAGAAGCATGTAGCACAAACCTGAAATATAGCTTTTGGTTTTTTAGAAATTGGGGCTGGATCTGCACAGAACCAGTCACCATGCTATGGCTGGAATAAAAGACAAATGAGGCCATGGAGTAACCTGAATGTATATCTGAAAATCTCTGTGACTCAGCAATTTCAGTTTTGGGGAAGTAACCAACAGAGATGCCTACATATGTGTAGCATTACATATTTTAAAAAGCCCCTGGTGATAACAACCTAAAGTCCATCAAAAATAAGTGAAGACCAGAAATAGTATTGATCATAATTAGGCACATACAAGAACTATTTAGGTTATGAATGGACAGTCAGTAAGGGACTCAGCCTGAGATGCAGTTGGGCTGGGGTGGTCAGCCTTATGAAGAAAACTGCATATACATAAGGTTAAGAGTTAACTCAAACCATATAGATCATTAAACTCAGGAATGCTGAGTTGAGGAATGCTATAGAAAAAAGCATTGAGAAGTGACTAGTGTAACTGACCCCCTCCTACGTTTTGCTTTGTTCTCCCTAATTACACAGCAAGACTCCTAACTGGCCAGAGTGTGGGTGATCTGTGCACAAACATTGCATGTTCTGTTTCTCTATAGGTCATATTGGAGCATGGCCAGTCCATACCCAAAGTCTAGATGTTAGCTCACCTTGAGCTGCTATGGCCAGAGACCTGACCACTTAGATATAAAAGACCCTAGACGAAGAACCCACCCTGGTAACCTTTCTTGGGCCTTTTGCTGACTATTGGGAATGTCCTCTCTTCCTAATCTTCCAATTAACACTCCTCTTTACTGTGTCCTTTGTCTGCAGTTTCATTCTTCAACTTCGTAAGACACCAGCCCGGTTTGGACAGAACACCAGAACACCCATCCTCCTGTCTACTGAAAAGGTTGGCTGCTTGTAACTCTGGATTGTCCCCCCATTCCTTTGCCAAACAGAAGCATCCTGCCTGGGAGGCTATGTTCCCTTTTCAAGCCAGATCTTGATTAATGACAGGGGAACAAAGCCAGACTCTTATACCTCAAGGTGAGACTAGCTCTGATTCAGTTTTTATTCAACTGCCTTTTCATGAGATCTGAGCAATCCCCATGCAAGATCACACTCTAGCTCTTCCTCTTCTCTCATATATTTCTCTCACTCTATTATTCTCTGAGCACTCTTCTGCCATTGAGCCCACCAGAGAATTTCTGTTTCAGGCTGTGCTTTTGATAAACCAACCTAAAACAGAGTTTAGCTGTGTTAGGAGAGCTGTGAGAGGCCTGCCTTGGGGTTAGGAGTATTCTCTTTTATGATCTGTGTGAGAGTTGCACACGTGCACTAACTTTGTGATAGGTCGCTGATAAGAACATTTATGTTATAGTTCAATAAAAAGTTTATTTACAAAAGAGAGACAGATACTTAGTTTAAAAAAAGAAATTATGTTGTTCTCCAAAACCTTGAGTTAAAAACTGCCTCAGAATCCTGCGTTCCTCCTAATATTTTCAAGACTTCCTGTACCTGGAAAGCCTGCAAACATCATAAAGGTGAGAAATACCCATAAAATTCATGGGCCTCACAAGCTACCTGTAGGACTTCTACCTACAATAACTCCTCCTAAATTAGCCTTATTAAACTAGACAGTGCTTATCTAGACAAACTGGCTCAGTCATAGTGGTTAGCAAATCAAAAGTTTATTTCATACTTAAGTAAAGTCTACTGAAGTTTGGGGCAACTTTGGAGTAGCAGCACTCCATTCTGGCTTCTTACCTTGTGGTAATTCTCTCAAGACATAATTTTACAATCACCACAGCAGGTGAATAGACCACTTCAGACATTTATACTAGTAATCAAATATTTCTATTAGAAGTGATGACTGTCACTTCTTCACACAACCCATCAGCCAGACCTAGTCAGAAGCCGCACTTACTCCCCACTCCCCAGGAGTTGGACTGTGAGAAGATACATCTCACCTGTGTTCTCAGGAGAGTAAAGTCCACTAAGAAACTTTTACTATGTCTTCACTGATTTTTACCTAAAACCAATTTTTGACTCCTTATATGGGACAAGGAGAATATATTTCTTCCCCTTCTTTACTATATAAATTATAATGTAGAAATTTGATTTCTGGATACTAATTTCTCAAAGAATATTTTGCATATTGTTTCTTTTCACTTTAAATCTGAAAATTAATCTCTGCAAGTGTGACTTTATAATCAGGCAATAGTCATGTAATAAATTCAATAGAAAACTTACAAAAGAGTAGAGACCATGATGGCTTTATTTTGTATAAGAAATACTTTACTTTGTGTAAGAAAAGTTGTCCTTCACAATGCAAGATGGTAAAGACCATCTTATATTCTGGCAAAAAAAAAAAATCTTTTTTGTAGTAGTGATAGTGGTCAATGTGAATCCATAGCCATAGACTCGATCTTTTTAGCAGAAGAACTAACTTATGGAACTAAATTACATCAGTACAAAAAATATACTCAATTCTAAAAAAAAATGAGGTAGATATAAATTAATAGTTCTGTGGATCATTATTTCTAGATATTAAATAAAATATTAAAAAAACATCTTCCTTGGGCTCACAAAATACATTTCTTCATTAACATTGTAATAGTTTGTCATTATTTTCTGCAGTTGAACCAGCTATTAGATTTCAGAATAGTCGTTTGCTTTGTTTTCAGATTAAATTTGTATTGCTTTGTTCCATGAAAGAAATAGAAAAATCCTAGAAGTAAAACAAAGAAGATTTACTACATTATACAACCAGTTTCTAGTTTTAACTTGAATTCTTGAGAACCTCAAGTTTTTAGCACAAATATTTTTGGCATTTCTGCTCCAAATAGCAATACTGATGCTATTACTATGGCAACAAAACGAAGGGAAGATTTTATATTCACTTACCGTCTTTGCTGAAAACAGCATCAATTTCCTTGCCAATTCCAGGAAAGTCATATGCTATCATTTTAGGATAACCTCTATCCATCGATTGTCTGTATTCATCATACCTGGTCAGAAAGTGATCAGGAGTGTCAAAACCTTTTGCTAAATATCAAGACTTTTCAAAAATCATTATGGGAAATGCACCAGAATGAATTTAACAAGAACTTTTAATTCTAGAGATTGTAAAATAGGGAGTTGGATGAGGAGAGATAGAATGTTGGGTGTATTAGAAAATTTATAAGGTCCCTTTGAAATCTAACATCTAATTTTAATCATCCAACAAGTTCTATACCATATCCTAATAATGTAAAATATTAGGAAAAAAAAAGATTCCTTTTGGCCAAAGTAGTTCTATAAAGATGAATGCTCATTTTTATATCTTTTTAAAATTCAATAACACCTGGTTTCAGGACTCCTAGCACAGGCATTGTGTGATAATTACTTATTAACTGATTAAATAAACGGGTGTTGATTGGTTATAGCCATTCACAAAAAAGGCAGCTGACTAAGGCAATCTGAGACTCATTTTGAACTGGATAAATCTAGAACTTTTAGTACAGAAAGAATTGGTGCCTTATTTCTTTATTATTTTTGGTAGTGTTTGGGATTGAATTCAGGGCCTCATGCATGTTAAGCAAGTGCTTTATCCCTAAATTGCACCCCAGCCTTTTCTTTTTCTTTTCTGTTTTGAGATAGGATCTGGATAAATTGCTCAGCCTAGCCAGGAGCTTGAAGTCTTCCTGCTTCAGCCTCCAGAGTAGCTGGGAATACAGGCGTGCAGCACCATGACCAGGTGCTTTGTGTTCAGTTTTTACCTCCAGTACTTGTTAGCAACAAAGAAGTATGTTTTTCCAGTGTATGCATCATAAGTAGCAGCGTCAATTTTATTTACAGTCCTAGGGAAACCAAAGGAGTGGTAGATACTCCTGGGATATCCTGGTAGAGCATACTGTCCCTGAACAGCCCAGTAGTTGAAACCTGCCAATCAAAAACAGAGATGCAAATAATTGCTCAAGGTTCCAGTAGACAATAAGCTATGAATCCAGCTAAGTTCTTAGTTTTGCATGCTCGAGCAGTGTCCTAGCTGCAGACTGGAATCATCTAGAGATTTTTGAAAGTGCCAGTGTTAGAATCCTGTTCCAGACCAGTTAAGCAGGTATATTTTGAAATTTCCTAGGTAAATCTAATCTGAAGCAAGCTTTGAGAATGTTTACAGCCATTTCATAAGAGCTCGCTTCCAGAGATAGGTGTCAAATGGCTAAAATTTGTCATACTGCCCCCTTGACAGAAAGTTCAAATCAGTGGTATCTGAATAGCAGAGCAGAATTGCAACTCTGGATTCAAATCATAACATTTGAGTAGAACACAGTTCCAGATATGTGAATTTATGCTGTGTCCAGTTAGTAAACCCCATATCACATACAGTTAATCTTGTGTCCTTAAGCAAGGATTGCTCTTGTTCACGGATATGATTATTTGCTCCTTATTAAAAAGGAGTCTGTAACTTTGTATATATAAAGCCCTATTTAATTTCACCACAGAAAGTCTGGAAATCCTGTTTCAAAGTGTTTGCATGTTGGTATGACCTTCATTTCTTTGCTTTGCATATATGACAAGATCAAGTATCTTAATCTTTGCTGTACTACATCAAATACATTTGCAAAAGTATTTATTTGGCATAGTCTTCAAAGCCAGATGCATTGGATTCTATTTCATTTTAACAGAAAAAATATATCCCATTTGATTCATAATAATTCATGACTTCATATATGTGCATATGCATTTCCTAGAAAACTTGTTAAAATTAAGACTTTTGTTTAAAGGTCTGGATTTGAGATTCTGTATTTGTATTAGCCTACCTGGTGATTCCAGGGCCACTGGCAGGGGATCACACCTGGACAACAAAGGTGGCAATGTCCCATTTGACTGCTCAGTGGTGGCCTTTCCTCACCCTCACTCAAGAAGATGGCTCATATTAAAATAGAGTGTAGGAAATAATACAAACTAAATGTTTCTATTCCATTCTCTGTAGAATTGGTCTGCTTTACTCAACTTTATTTCGGAGCACCCCTAGTGATATGGGGAAAGATTGAAATACATAGTTTGCAAAGAAAACACATTTGTAAGTCTAGACTCATAAACTGATCAGAACAATTGTATCTCAAATTAATTGCTTTCTGTTTAAAATGACTCAAATGCACAATGTAATTTTTAATTAACAGGTTCCACTCTGATTGAATTGAGTGGTAAGACTATTAGATTTTCGAAATGCCATGGACTGAATGTAGCTAATACCTTCACATCTTACCCCAAAAGTAAATGAAAAATTAATTTGCAAAAACAATGAAAAATATTTGGGACTTTTACCTTTGAAAAACCGGATTTCATCTTTATGTTCAAGTTCATAAGCAGCATCAAATCCACTTATCAGATGTGGCCAAAAAGTAGCAGTGAAATGCATTTTAGTTTCTAAATATAAGGGATGTGAACGAATGTAGAATCTGATTTTAAAAATAAGGAAAAAGAAAAAAGATTTCAATCTCATCTCTGACTAGTACTCAGTTCCTTCTTGTTGCTGGCACAAGTAGAGTGCTTGTAAATTTTCAACATCTGACCCTTCAAAGGAGGGCGTAGGACACGAGAAGTCCAGGTTTATAGCATCTGCTTAATTTTTCATGGAAATATGCCCACCATGGCAAATTGCAAAGAGTCACAACCTTCACACTATTCTAACACACAAATACAATAGTCATAACCTCAAGAATATAAAGGGTAAAGCAAAACCCTATTATTCCTATGGCAGCCTTAGAAATTGAGGCTAGGGAAAGTACAAGAGGTGTCTAAGGCCATAGAATTGGTAAGAAGCAAAGGTTAATTTTAAACTTGCTTCTGGTAGCCACTACTTTTGTTGTTCTTTGATTAGGGGTATACGAAGTTGATTCAACAGTTCATAGGGCCAACAATGCTGAACAGAGAGTATCATGAGGGTTAATGAGTTTTCTGTATTCCAGGCCTTGGAGGTCAGAATCCTACTTATAGATTCTGTCCTGTCTTGTCATGGCTGTGAGATCTTGGGCAAGTCAGTTACTGTCTCTTTCCTTCTGTGTCTTCTTGATATGATGATATTTAAATAATCTCAGTGCCCCTTCAGTTCCTGCAAATTCTAGAGTGGTTTTCTTTCTTGGAGTTCTCCCTGAGGGCTTGTACCGATAGATGTGTTCTGCTAGATTGAACTTTCCTTTCAATCCCCCAAAAAGGGGGGGGTCTAATAATATGTATAGAAAAACAAGTTTCTTTAAATATATTATGTTGTGTAAATGAAGCAATTTCTACCATATAATTATAAATATAAATCAATGCAAGATGAATAGTTCATGAAAGTTATTAGCGGAGCATAGTAATGATGTAGAACACAAAAAAGAACTGAGATCTTACCTGTCTTTGAAGAACACGATTTCTCCCTGAACTGTAGTTACAGCATCAAAGGTTATCTGACTGTTACACACATCTGGAGCTTGTAAGCTTACTTGCTTGATGGGATTTTTGGAAGGACCTAAGAAAAATAAGAAAACTGGAGTTAGTTTTGCCTAGTGTTGGGAAACTGCATAAACAATGAAAGCTTCTTAAAGGACAGAGCTAATGGTTTGTTTTATTTGTAATAGGTATAAATACCAGTCCTTGTCCATAGCATTTTTCTTCTTACTCACCATATAATGCTTGGATGCCAACAATGTCATCTTGACCTAATGCAATGACACCATTTTCAGAATAGACGGGGAACATTATAGATGCAGGGTCAGAAGAATGATCAAGTCCAAGGGAATGGCCAAATTCATGAGCCGCAGTGAGGTACAAGTTAATCTCTAAAAGGTTAAGAAAACTCATTTTCAATTTTTTAAAATGTACTCGGTTTTGAGGCATTTATTTAAAAAATAATCTACATTTTTAAAAAATTTGTTTCTTGAAACAGGGTCTCACTATGTAGCCCAGGCTGGTCTCAAGTTTTCAGTGATCCTTCTGCCTCAGACTCCTGAGTGCAATCTACAATTCTATAAGGACTAATTCTCATATTTTCTTGGTTACTTTTAGAAATATATATGTATTTCAAAAATTACATATATTTATATACATATTTATAAAATATATATGCATATTTATAAGGCTTTTTTTCTGAATGTGTGAGGCAATCTTAAAAAGAGATGTTCAATCCTAGACTCTAGGATTATATTGATAAAATTTAGACAGAATTTAGTGAAGTTGAGTTGATTTTGTTAATGGTTAGCTAGTATATATTATTTCACAGAGAAGCAATAAAGCCTTATTAAAATTTAATATTTTTATTATTTACTACGTTTATAAAGGCTTAATACTGGAAATCTTGGCTAACACAAAAAGGCTTTCCCTCCCTTAATTTCCGCATTATCTTACTACCATTGTTAATTTTTGTTGTACTTTTCTCATAAAGAAGATGCAAAGTAGATGTCTATAAGCAAAGCATGAAGTTTTTCAACACTTTCTTAATGGAAATTTTAGGGTGGTATATTTGTCACCAATAAGAAGTTATACTAATAAAGCTAACCTCTCTTATACTATTCTAAATATTCCATTTTCTTAGTGGTAATGGAAAAATGCCTATTTCTATTAATGCCTTCTATCAGTGAAATCAACCAATATTGAAATGAACCATAAGGGTAGGGGAATTGAGAGTAATAAAATTGATTGACTTACTACCCAAATGCTTGGCCCTCTTTTCTTCGGTCCACGTTTCATCTTCATCAAAGTGAGCGTCCCCTCCTATATATGGGCCTGGTGCAAAAGCATGAGCGATTTTACCGCTAGGTCCATCAAAGGGGTTATTGTCTCCATGATCTGCAAGAAACAGAATATAACAAAGGTCCCATTGGTTCTCATTTAGGCTGACTTAGGATAGCAAGCATTAGCTTTGCTAAGATGCCGCTAGACTTCATCAAATGTAATGTAATTTTCTGCCGTTGGTTCATGAGATCAATAACCTCTTCAACAAGGAATTCTAGCTGCAAAGCTGAAGAGAGTTAGGGGCAAGGGAAGTTAGGTGAGACTATTTCCATGCTACAGGAAGAGCTTACCTCCTCTGGTAAAGTATATCATTATGTCTGCTTCACCCCAAAAGATCCTGGTGAATGTCAGAGGTGACACATCACTCCAGAGTCGAAAGGCTTTCTCAAAGATATTGTCCACTACCGATCTTGGCAAATCTGGTGTGTAATTTCTAATCCTTCATAAAATACAATTCAGAAACATTAGGCCTATTTCTTAGCATCTAATGGGAGACAGGTTTCTTATTCTAATAGTCACTCTGGTTACCTGTAAGTCAGATCCTTTTTGTTCCAACGAAAGCCCCCTGGCATGATGGTAAATGAAGCCACATCAGGCATCCCACATCTGGGCTGCTTCATCATCCTCAGGGTTTCATTATCCGGCTTTCCAGTCACTTTCAGCCCAAAGAATTTCTGCATTTGTTCTAGGTGTTCAACCAGGTCATTAATGCTTCTCTTTTGTTTTCCAACATGTGTTCCTTTGTTCAAATTATAATAGTTATCCAAATATTTCTGATAAAAGATAAAATTATTGAAACATTGAACAGGAAATATTTCTCATTTGTAAAAAAAGGAATAATATGAAATTTTAATCAAGATAGAGAACTACTTTCAACACTTTTTAGACCACATGATCTTTGTTATTGTTTTCACTGGTTAAAAAAAATACAATTTCAGAGTAGAATTCCCCTTACCATTGCTTATGAAAAAGACTGAACTTTACAGTAGAACAAGATAGGTAGAGAGAAATTTGCATATTGTTGTAAACCTACAAATTTCTGACGTGAGATTTGCATCCTATTTCTTCAGTTCCTTTTCACCTCCAGTTTGAAAAGGAGAAGCTTGGGAAAGTGTTGCTTCTGACAAAAAACCATTTCTCTTTGTAAGAAATCCATCCTTAAATGAACTCCATCTACACTAGAAAAATGCAACTAAAAACTTCCATTTTTAAAATATGTGAAACAGTATGTACCTGAACCAGCTCCGCATCTTCTCCTTGTATTTCTGGAGTTACTGGGAAGCCATGAGACACCACAGCCCAGAGCAGCGGCAGCAGCAGAGGAAGACTGAGCATGCTGACCTTTGTTTTCCTTCTCTGGACAAGAAACAGAACTTCTCTGCCTGCCTGTTCTGGTAGTATCTCACCTTGGAAGTTTATTCTTTATATGGAGAGTCCAAGCCGGAGGCTGTCTGACTCACTGTTCATAACATCCTCTTGATGACCAATGAACAGCCTGAGCAGTTATCAGAAACGGAGACTTCAAGTATGCTGCAGTTCCATGATTAATATCAAACAGGACATTTGTGAGAAACAATCTTCACCATGCACACATTTGTTTTCTCCAATACACGTGCATACTATTGGGAAAGATCTCGGTTTCATACACAGGTGCAAAGTATTCCATGTTTTTTTTCAAAGATGGGCTTTGCTACTTAGTGCCGCTGGTTATAAAATGTTCTGGGCATCTATGCACCCCTCGGTCCCAGTGTCAAGGATGGAGTCGCTTACAATTTGTGCCCTCTTCTATTCAGCACTCCCACTGATGTTCAGCTCTTCAAACACTGTTGGCACTTGAGGTTCTTTCAGGGTCCCCTCTACCTTTGCTGAGCCATCTGGGACTCTACGGAAATAGTGCCATGGCTTATTTATTTATGAAGTAAATGCATGGGTATGTACTGAAAGATGCACAATTGAGAATTTATGTTTTACTTAAAATTCCCTTGGGTACCATACCACCCTGGGAGAGAAAAGCTGGTCTGTCTCTGTAGCTTCCTCTACGTCTGTTCCTTCCTCCTTTTTAAAAATGTGTTTAAATGAGGTATAAATTTGAAAGACGCTGGCCTCCATTCTCCCATTCAGCACTTCATGGTGTCTCCCACCTTTCTTGCTGTATTAGGTTTGCTTCTTGGGGACCTTTCTCACAGATTTTTTTCCTCCAACACACCAAGAACAATGTCATATTAATAAGTAATGCTCCAGTATATCTTGCATTGATTTGAAAGCACTCACTTACTCTGTAATCATTTAACTACAGCTTCGTCCTCTAAGTAGAGTAGCATGTGAGTTTGTGAGGGGAAGAAGAATGGAAGAAATTCTCATGGACAATGAAATCCTCCTCTTTTCAAGAGCATCAGATGGAGAGTGAAGCTGACCCTAACCCAAGCTAGGACAATAGAGGGAGGAGCTCTGTATGTTAGAATTTGGACACAGACTACATTTTAAAAGTCAAAGAGTTATTGACAGTTATTATTGTCAAGTTTTAGGGAATCCTGATATCAGGGACTCTGGTCCGTGTGAAGAGGTACCTTCAGTTCTCCTGGAGTCTGGGAAACAAGGTTTACTACTCAGGAAAACAGCATGTGACCATCAGGAAATGGGCAAGAAATTGTATATTACCGTGGGAGAGTCCTATAAAATGTCTTATCTAGCAAGAGTCTACAGAAGTTTTCAAATTCTTGTAAACTACTGCATCCTTTACTTATACAAAATCTTCACAGCCAATTTGCACATCAGATGAGAGCAGAAGTTATCTGACGGAAGCTAGAAATCCAGCCTGAAGGTCCCAGCATTTTTTCAATGTACCAATAAAATTAATTTTTAAAAAAGTTTTGTGTTATTATCTGTTTCTTTTTTGTAGGAGTCTTTTTGGTTTATGTCTTGTATTCTGAGTAACTATTTTGAAGATACTGATACACAGTGTATTAACAAACAAAATCTAGAATAGAAAGCTAGAGATTCAATCCAACTAGATACTAGAAATGCCTGGAGTTGGTACAGTTTCTCAGAAGATCAAAACATGTTAAAATTGTATTTGCTCTGAACATCCAGATTACCCCTCTCCTTCTCCAGTCCCCCATTGGATTAAATTTTGTGGCAGCTATTTCTCTATCCTTTATCCCTTTTGAGAACAACAGGTGTAAGAGGGCTCTTGTGAGCAGACCCACAAGAGTAAGTCTTTTGACTTTTTCCAAGCAGTCAAATTGTTCATGAGTTTCCTGGTTGTTTCATGCTGACTTTTCTGTGGAAGAACTCAAATATGATTATATTTTCCATATTAGAGTCAATTTGGAATTTCAGTCTTGTTTCTCATTTTTTATTTTGGAAAATTAGGCTTTTCCAATGTTATAAGTAGTCCATTTGAGTGTCAGATTATTTTTTCTATTTTTTGTCCTATTAATCTTGAAATGGTCTTTGTCAGAAACCTTATTATGTAATGCTGTGTTGTTCTGGAATTATGTAAGAAAATCTGTCCTACTCTATATTCTCCCTTAATAGAGCCACGTGGTAGCTTTATGGCTAAATACAGTGTGTCAGATACTTAACAGACACTTGGGATATTGTTACTTCACTTCTCGTGGTCATTTCAATATAGAAACAACTGACTCATTAACCCTGAGTTCCCAGTCACAGCAGGCAAGTGACAGTCACTGGCTGAACACAGGACTCCATGTACAGAAATTTTTATTTGCTAAAGGAGAGAAAGTGTCTGGAGACAATGGGACTGTTACATCGATTCCCTCCTGTCTATAATATCTCTATTCCACTGCTCAATTCCTCTGGCCAGAAACTTCTCCCCTTCCCTTTCAAGCTGCTATTCAATCTCCTTTATCAAAATTCTTCAAATTGCAGTCAATGCTCTTTTAAGACTATAATTATTTGTTATTATCAGAAAAATGTGGATAGATTCATTGACTATTATCTGCAAACTTGGATGTTATCTTCAAAAAGTAAATAATACTGTCCAGTTCAACTATTTATGATGTTATTTAACTAACAGCCCCTTGTAAACTGAATCACTATATACTGTAATTATTGGCTTCTTCACCTTTTAAACTATCCCCAAGAACAGATGTTATGTAGCCATAAAAGATAAACATAAGAATTCACAAACACATAATCCATTTTTTTGGTCTTTTCTTTTTTAAAAAATGTGAATGTATCTATTTAGAGCTTTTAGCGCATAAAATTTCAAATAAAATCTGACCAGTTGCTGTAGTTTTAAAAAGAAATCATTTCCTTATTCTGTTTTAGGAAAAGTGCAATACATATTGACATAGTAGAAGGCAGTAAAAACATAATTTGATTTAGAACACAATTTAGAAAACATATATATACATCTTTTAGATTAGCAATATGGTGGTAACAAAAGCCAACAACAATGAAATACAGATATGTTTACACACATTGTAAAGATAACAACAAAATTAAACTTTTACTTGAGATGAATATAAACATAAAAATGGAAAACCCCTCCTTTTTCTTCCTAAATTTTCTTCGAAACAGTATTCAGTAATAAAACTTTACTTTTCAAAAGTAGATGATATGTATTAGTACAAATCTGTCACTTCTTTAACATGTACTTTTTATTCTATGATACACAGTTTAGGTAATAATAATGCATTTTAAAATGGAACAATTTACTGCTAAAACCTGAGTTGCTTCAGTGTAACTACAGAAGACTTAAGTCCTATCGCAGTGGAACATACATGCTGTAAGTGCTCTGTGCTAGTTTGGTATGTGCTGGTGGGTACTACCATGGTAGCAATGTTACTTTTGGCAACATGGTAATGATTTCTCTTCTTCAATCTTGGGAACCCTGGGCACATCAGAGAAATATTGATTCGGTATTCTTCTGTCAGAGGGTCTTCCCACAAGGATTTCTCTACATTCATGAGAATCAGTTGCACCTCCTTATTCTTCAGACTCAAATGTCTTCGCAATTGTTGCTACCTGAGCTAAAATAGAAACTGGATTTTGGCCAGTCCAAGTCTGCAAATGAGCAGATCTGCTGTCTGCCACAGAATCTGTTACACTTCCATCCTGCTGGGAGTCAACTGTTTCTATGGTAAATTGTTCTGTATTTGTCTTAATATATTTTTCCTGTCACATTTACTCATTATCAAGATATTTGCAATCAATTCTTTTCTCCTCCTCTTTCTTCATTTATCTGAGGTGCCTGGCCTGACATGGCCAGGCCTTCACTGCTGATTAACTCTATTTTTAAAGTCTATAATTAGTATTTCTTGAATAAGAGGAGTTTGTCCTTAGAATATTAACCAAAATATTATACATGTATTAAAAATTCCATAGATTTCCATTGATTGATTCTCCAGGCAACTTGATTGCCTGTAAGAAGTGCATTGAAACAGGACACCCCCCCAAAAAAAAACAAAAAACAATGTTTGAGGGCAGATTTGGATTTAAAACATGAGTTTTTAACTTTTAGACATGTAATCATAGGCAAATCAACCTCTCTATTAGTTTGTTTTCTCACATATATAGCGCAAAAAATACTACTGAGATCTGCATGACAGTTTGGAGCATAGTTAAGTCCCCACATACAATAAAATCATGCCTGTCCTATAATAGCTGTTCAATGAATCCTAATTCTTCTAGAATGGAAAGACATCTAACGCAGGCTAATGTGTCTTCCATTAGAGAAGAGGAAATGGAGCCCATGTATTATCATTTGTTTTTATTTCACTGGAAGCAAAGTTCAAGTGTCTCAATGAGAATGTTTTAATACACTATTGATGCTAAGTAATTACCTAAAATGAAAGCTAAATATTATTCTTGAGGAAATTTTATTATCAAAATGGTAAAGGAAGTCAAATGGAATACATTTTTCTTTTAAAGATACATGATAAACCCAAAAAGTAGTTGTTGTCTCTATTAACTATGTCGTCTTGCCTAAGAAGCAACCATATGTGAGTTGTTATATTATGTCATGAGTTAAATATAATTCTAAAAATAAATGCAAAGGTGATAAGCCTCTTAGTTGTATAAATTGTGGTCAGGATGTCATGTATTATAAATACTCAGCTACTATCGTTTTTACCTTAGGAAAGGGAACATTTTCCCTTTATTCATGCTGAGTAGATTTTTTTTTAAAAGAAAGGAAAGAAAGAAATAAAAAGGAAGGAAGGAAAGAGAAAGATGGGCAGAAAGAAAGAAAGAAAGGAAAGAAAGAAAGAAAGAAAGAAAGGGAAAATCAATCAGTGCTCTGCACGCTGGCACCTGCCTGTAATTCCAGAATTTAGGAAGCTGATTTAGGAGGATTGTGAGTTTCAAGG